CAATATAACTTAGAGAACTGTGTTCTGCCCTGGCTAACAAGGGAATAACCCCTTTACAGTGACTGTTATGACAATGGCATTTTGTCACTCCAGTTAGGCAGATTTTAAATCCAGTTTTACTATTAGAAGAGTATTAGAAGCCCATAACATACTGGAACTTCCAGGGCTGTCAGCAGGTTGTGACAGGAAACTGATGCTGATTGATACACCTTTGTGCTTTTGTGAAGGAAATGTTGTCATGATGTCTTGATATCATATTTAGTACAGCTCTGATGTTTACATCGTGCCTTGGTTTTGTTACATGCTGTAGGTACCCTTGATTCTGCAGTCACATCTGGAGCGTACGGAGCCAAGAATTTTCTTTTGAGAGATGGAAAGGAGAGCCTGCCTTGTGTTTTTTATGAAATTGTAAGTATTCCATGTATGTACATGACAAAGACACCACTGCATGCAGTGCCTTTAGGAAGTTAATATGTGTTGTTCTGATAAAACAGAAAATAGTGTTGTAAAAGGAAGACTGGGTGCTTATACATTATTGTACCCAGGCTGGTGTAGAGCAATAATGCAGCTGCTATTTGGGCACCCTCAGACTTCAGTTTCACCAAAAATATTGAAGATGCAGGTTGGGCTTTCAGTTCAGCTCCGAAGTTGTTGATAATAGCAAAAAGAAAAAAAAAAAAGATTATGTAAATTCCTTCAGTGTTTGATACAACTTTCAGAAGTGCACTAATAAGCAGCAATCAGGCATTTGGAAAGCCTCCATGTTAGAAAGGTGATGGAATGTCTTTATTTGTTGCGTTCTTGTTGAAGGATCGCGAGCTTCCAAGACTCATTAGAGGTCGTGTGCTCAGATGCATGGGAAACTATGACACAAAAAAGAACATTTTCAAGTGTGTCTCTGTAAGACCAGCAACTGTTCCAGAACAAAACACTTTTCAAGAATTTGTTAAAATTGCAGATGTTGAGATGACAGCCTACGTAAAAACAATGAATGAAATTTAAATGTAAAGGTGGTATAAAATTCATTCACTCAAACTAATGCTCAAAAATGTGATTAAATAATTGAAAATATACTCTGTTATCCAACAAATGCTAAGGACAGCATTTTGTTTCCACTATTACTCTCACAGTTTATTTTCTCTGGCTATCTGTGTGATAACAGCATTTGTTATGTAGTTCATTGGATTTTACTGGAGAAATTCTGAATTGAAATGTTGGAGTTGTTCATATGAACGTAACTTATTTATATGAACTGTTCCTGCTTAACTAGAGTGAGTGAGGCAAATTCTATTTTTTTGGAATGGACTGTTCAGTGAGTTTTATTTAAAAACAAACAAAAAAATCCATGGATCAGTGAAAACTGCAGGGAGTGCCCCACTCATATCCCTTTTGTCTGTTACCCCAGTGTATGCATCCTTAACAGCAGACCAGGCTGATTAGTGGCCTCTTATCTCTCCCAGTCACTGAAGAAAAGACTTAATAGTGAAACTTCCTTCCATTGAGGCACGAGGAGGAGAAATGAGGCCGAGCCACAGGTGGCTAACGAGAATGAAAACTTTTTAGAGATGGCCTAAGCCTGAGGAATTCTCAAAAATGTTTTGAGCATCCCTAAGGGGATCAAACCCTTCTCTTACCTTCTCACCTCAATGACATACTGCCTATACGTGCTACCTACTGTACATTTTATTTTCCCCTTTTGGTGTGGTGGGTTTTTGTTTGTTTCTGTGCCCACAAGCAATCAGTTTAGACCTTTACAAACAATTTGCTGAGAGTGAAATTTCATGTTTCTGAGTTCTGTAATACTTGGCCACACAAATTTGACTCTGACAGTAGTTCAGGTGTCTCAGAAAAAGGATACTCTCAAAACTAATTCACACTGCCATTGCTTCTTACCTTCAGCTATTAGAAACACCTTCAGTACCTGTTTCAGAATGTTGACTGTGGTGAGTGTTTGGTCAAAGTTCAGTAGTGATCAAACATCAACAAAGTTCTTTGTGTGATTTCATTAAAATTGCTCTCTGCTAGAAAGTAAGATGGTGTATCCTGCTTCAGTTTCCTTTGAATAGCAACAGCATGTGTAAGAGCTCTTCTAGAAAGGCACATAACAGGCACTGCAGAAGGATTTCACAGGATACAGCTGTACATAGTAGGTATTCATATGGTTCCCTTTGCTACACCACTAGTTGTACTCCTCTTTAAAAACAGCGGATCATTATGACACTTGTTTAAATGAGCAGCACGCCCTGTAGCTGTGGGAACATTGTTCAAGGACATGCAGGAAGTTGGAAAATAATTACTTGAACACAGAACTTCCTTGCCTTTGCCATAAGAACATCCTGTGAGGGGCGGTCCACGTGCATGTTTGTGTCTTTGCCTTCAAACATCTACTCTCACACTTATTCCTGCTGTTTCTATTTCCTTCTCCCCTTACTTCAACACCGTGTACCAAATTTGTTGGATTTTTTTTTAATAAAAAAAGAGAGAGATGTTAAGAAAACAGTAAACAGTGATTTTTTTTTCAAATTTTTTTATTATACAGTGTTGGCAATTGGAAATTTCACATTTAAAATAATTGAAGTATTGTATCCAACAAGTCAAATACAGAAAACAGTTAATATTCTAAAAAGGAGCCAGCTAGTCAATGCAGAAACACATTAATGGAAAATACAGCTTTTAGTTACACTTAGAAAATTATATATTTAGAATAAAACTTGAACCTGATCCCATAAATTGTTTGACTTTTAACAAGAAAACGCTTTACACAGTTCAACTCGTAGACAGTCTTTATTTTAAAAAGTGATCTGTCAGTGTTAGCATATGGATTGTTAGCAACACCCTACTGAAGCTGTCAGTTGAGGAGTTAAAGCATATGCTTTCCTAACTGTGCTAAGAATCCCTTGCCTTATCTCTGTCTTCTATGCTAAGCTGGTTCTGAGCATGGATGTTTCAAGGAAAGTTTTGCCTGTCCAGTTGTAGGGGTCCTGTACTTATGCTTCATTTCCTTAATGTATGGTAAAACAACAAAATTTCCAAATGGAGGCAGTAGTTGGGTTCATGGAGGGAAACAGAGCCTGACAGCACTCACAACAAAAGAGGCTGAGTTTAAAGAAGTAAAAGATTTGGTACAGCAGTGTTGTGAATTGTAGAACTCCATTAAAACAGTACGTTGAAATTACGAGGGAGGTTTGAGCTGTGGGGCCAGAATTGCAAGGGTGTGTGTGTGTGTGTGTGTGTGTGTGTTCAACACCACACAGTGCTGCAGTCCTCAGATTGTGGCTGAATGAAGGTTCTAGTTCTGCACATGTGAAAGTTAACAAGCAATGACAGGAACTGATTGGCTGTGCTCAGCAGGTATGGTGTGGATGTTAAGAAAAACACAAAACTTTGCTTGTAGATTTTAGGTCCTTGCAATTTTTTTTTGTTTTTTTGCACACTAACAAATCACTTTTCTAGTGGAACATTAAGTGACAGTCTTAAACGTTACACAAAACAGAAAAAACCCTACATAATACAGTTTATACACATTACACGTTTCAGTTGTTGATTCTTTTTAACCATATTGATCCTGTCTTGTCTAATGGTTCTAGAGTAAAGGCACAGGTTGGTTAGGAAAGAAAAGCCTGCATCTCTGTCTCTCTCTCTCTACTTTGTGGTTATCATTTTCTTTCTACTTGTTGGTCGTTATTCCTCACTTTTCTGACTTTTATACAAAAATTGTCAATTTTAGCTATCAGTTTAAAGGATGTTACTGGGAAGCGTGCTACTATACAGAAATGATGGAAATCAATTCTGCTTAATTTTGACATTCCTTTAAGCTACTTTGTTAGGTATCTGGAGGATGTCATCTCTTATTCACTGAGAGCAAAAACACACAATGCTCTTTCTCTAATTCTCAGTGTCCTTAATTCTACTGTGAAATCTGTGTTTCCAAAGGTCAGTGATGAAACTTAGTGTGCAGAATTTGCTTTTGGAGTGCATGAAAATGTAACAACAGATCATTATTTCAGAAAACAATGCAACAGTCCATTGATGTTCAGAAGCGTGAGGAATGTAAACCAGACTGTAGGAGTCTCTGACGTATTAAAATTACACAGTGATTGTTCTGTCTGTTTGCATTTGTTACACATCCTCAACATGTCTCTGTCTGTTCCTTCATGTACACGTTCCATAATAAAACAACATAAAAGCAGCACTAACTTCTGGAATTAGTTGGGCTCAGATAAATGAAGAGTAATGGACTTGATCACTTAGGTTGTGCCAAAATGCAAACTGAGACATACGGCTCTGAATTAAATATAATCTATGTGCCTGTTAATAAATAATAGAAAATAAAATATTAGAATTCAAATTATTTTAAATGAAACACAGAACAGTGGGGGGAGCTTAGAACCCAATGTTTCCCTTCCTTAAGGAATCAAGTGCACTTATTTCAGTCTTTGATAGTAATGAATCCAATGCTACTGAGGAGATCAGATGAATTGCACACATGAGCCCACGAACTATGGCCATGTGCTACTTCTGACGTGGAATCAGATTCTTCTTCTTCATAGTATGCAGTAACACTTCCCATCTAAACATATTCCAATAGCAGGATCTTAAAAGGATTGGATATCTGGTCAATTCTGGCTTGCGTTGCCACTACACATAAGGGCCACAGGGCACACACTTGCTGTAAGCACAGATTGTTGTTTACTGCCTTAAAGAGCAGCAACAACAAATCTGCAGTTGTCATAGTTCAAATCATTCTGCAAGATTGCACTTAAAATAAGAATTGAAGAAACATGGGAAAAAAGATACTTTCTTAACCTGTTACATCATCATGAGCCTTTGGAAGCAGTTACATCTCTCTCTGTTATCTTCATGAACACGACTGTAAATCTGGAGGATTAGATCAGGATGAATGTGTCCTGACAACTGACAATATGGAGGTACTACTAATACATAGAGATTAAAAAGAAAATTGTTCTGGTATACACTTTTAGTTATCAGGCTTAATTGTAGGCCATGGCTACTAGTAGGCTTTTTTTTTTTTTTTTTAATTAACCAAAATAATTATAACAAAATATTGTTATTGGTTTTAAAATTAGTGGGTTCATAAAAGCTTTCACATTTAATAATATATAAAAAGTGGATTGAAACTTTTTAAAAGTCTTAAGGTTTTGAGACACAAAAGAAACAGCCTGGGAGGTAGACAGATGTTCTGAGGATAAACTGATACCAACTTTTGCTAAGGCTGTGTTCGGAGCAGCACAAAGGCTGCTGATTCATCTTAGTTTAATTCCAGAGCGTTCGCTGCTCGTGTGTACGGAAGACTATCAATGCACTTTTGGTCTTTGTGAATCTGACCTTCTCTCCCCATCTCCTTTTTTTTTTTTTTTTTCTTTTTTTCTTTTTTTCTCTTTAGCAATACAGCTAAATGGAAGTGCTATAATAACTGCTGCCCATTGCCCGTAGACAGGAATGTTCTGTTCTTAAACAGTAATAAAATACTATAAAATAGTAGGTATTGGAGTCGGAGATATGTGCTCTTTTGGTGCATATTTTGCAAAGAATGGTAAAAAGACAGACAACATGACCCCCACAATTGCCAGCATATACCCCCATCCAATCTGGCAGTCTCCTGCATAGTAGATGTCTGAATTCTCACAGAATTTCTTCACAGTAGCAGAGTTGAAACCAAAAGGGTAAACCAAAAGCCCAGAAGCCATAATGAACACTGGAGAGGAGAAAAGAAACCACTGTTACTACTGAGCTTTTAATTCCTTTGAAAGAATTCTTTGTTTCAGAAAGGCAAATGCGTAACATTTAAAGCAGTGGGGAAAGTTATAGCTTAAAAATACTCCTGATTGTCAGAACATTTTTCATAATTATCTCTGATGAACAGTAGTGTCATAACGTGGCAGCAAGTTAGCGCTGGGATCTTTTTGCATGAGAACTTTGCTCATTACATAATGTCTGGAATGCTGTGGTGCACATCATACAGCCGTTTAAAAAGTGAGATGATTCAGATGTAAAGGAGAAGAGTTCCTAAACTTGCAGACTGCAGAGCTGCTTCATTTTCTTCTCAATAGCATTTCTGGGGCGTGAGACAAACAATGACTTTGTTCTGCCAAGTAACAACATTCAGTTAAAGAGATTAAATGTAGTTTTGCAGATTCTGCTGATGATGTTCTGATAATGTAACACTTTGTCATTATGCTCAGCACTGCGAACTCAATATACAATGCAACATAATGCAACATAATCTTTTTATTTGGCTTTTGATTTTTTAACAAATTAAGGCTGAAGGCTGCCTTATTATCTCATTTGACAGCTCAGGGGATAAAACAGGGGATAAAGATATGCTGTAGGAATGTGAAGTTTCAGTAGAAAGGCACAGAGTTGGAGGAAATCTCTTTCAAGCCAAACACACCAGCAGATTAATCCAGGTATAATGAGGAAATATGTCTAAAATACAATGAAAACTTAAGCTGCTTCCTGAAGTTTGAAAGCCAGGCTTGCCTCCTGCAATTACTCTGTCTGGATTATCTGTTAGCTTTTAATAGAGCTTCACAGATTTTAGTCTTTAATGAATGCGTGTTGTTTAAATGTATGTTGTGCAATTAATAAAGAGCAGAACTATTTTTCCTGCTTTGAAAATAGGACTGCCCAAGGCACAGGTGATGCAGATACACTAAAGTGCACAAGGCACAGTGCGCAGAGTCAGTCTTTGTCCACCTTGCCAGTCAAGAGCTGCTGAGGAAGGCTGATACGAAGAGCTGTGTCACCCCAGCCCCTGTATGTAGCTCTTGTTGGAAAGAACACTGAGAAATAGATATATTGTTCATTTTATGGGGGTTTGGTTTGTTTTGCTTTTGCTATTGAACTAGTGCTATATTTATAATCTATAGCCTACTTTTAGAAAGGTTTGTTTTATGCATCGGATATGACGAGGCAGTCCTTATTCCCACACTTATTCAAATCCTGGGTGAATTGTTAGTAACTCGAGAATGATGGTAATGACTGAGCTAACAGTTAATCCCTTGTAAAAAAATAAAACGAACAAAAAACACAAGAAATAATAAGACCAAGAAAACAGAAATTCAAAGGAGAGAAACTGGGACAGAAGCAAACTTGCACGTCTGTTTTCCTCCAGGGTAACTCAGGGAAGAGTACAAAGAGAAACTGCCTGCTGGTCAGAGGAGCTCTCTGAGAGCAAGGTGTTCACCCACACTCCTTCCCATCTCCGCTCTTTCCCTTTAAGCTCTTTGTGAACTTTAACTTCTCAGAGGTTCACAAAGAAAGAACACTGTGGCCTTCCCCTCTTTCCAGGCTTAAGGTTCAGAAGTTGACAATCCTACATGCAAGGTCCTCCCCAGCACACGCAGCACCTTGAGCACACCAGGGAGCACGAGATGTGGAGCACAGCACAATTCCCAGCAGCTGTGTTTCTCTGCATACAGAAACTGAAGCTAAATGCAAAAAACGATATTGTATGATCCAGATCTACCTTAACTGCATATGTGTTAGACTAAACTAGTCATGCAGGAACATTTTGTCTAGCAAAGATTACTGAGCTTTCCCAAAAGAAGAAAGAAGAGCTAAGGGCCAGCACGCTTCCTTTGCTCAGCAGCACAGCCTGACATTTGAGTGACTTTTGCACACCCAGGAAAACTCTGAGAGCACCACTTTTATGGAGAGAAATGGAAAAAGTCACCTTGGAGAATAAACTGAAAGGTTAGAATGTTCCTCCTGGCATTGTAAAGTTTGAGTGTCAAACCTCTGAACAGAGCTACAGACTAAACCAGTCAGTCCTCAGACCTACGTGGTCTGTAGCTCCATGCTCTAAGCAAGAAGCAGGTCTGAAAATAACAGTTATTTCAGCTGATTCATCTTTTCATAGTCAAAATGGTCCACACATCTCGTTCAGCTCCAAGTCATTATGCACAATTGTAAGCAATCGTTTTACCATGAAATCCCTTCAAACTGTGCTGTTAAGCTTAGCTGTTTTTCTGATAGTATCTCAGCCCCTTGCTCTACTTCTTGTATCTGTCCATATGAATGTTTTCTTTTTGGTTGGGTTACACAGAATGAATATTTTGAAGGTTGTGCTTTACAGCGATGCCAGTGTTTTGATTACCACTTGGTGCTCATGTTTTATAGTCTGATTTAATGGAAGAAGCTTTTTTGTTGTTGTTTTGTTTTGAATGCTAGAAATAATCTGTCACAGTTGAATGTAATGTGTTCACATATCAAACGGGCTAAGAAGTTACCCATGGTTTCATATCCTCAGGCATGTCACAGAATGACCTCATTATTCTCATTTAGGTGCCCTCTTTCTTATAAAGGCTCCAGATATTGAATAGCCTGTTATTATCAGCAGAAGCCAAGCTTTCAGACGTGGTGCTAATGACGGCTTAATAGTGCTGTCCATCAGCAGTGCAGTTAGCTGGGAGAACACACAAAGAAGCAGTGGGGCTCCATTTAGGCTACTCATCGAGCACTTATACCTCTGCACGATTTTCCAGCAACAAACAACCTTTCAGAAGGTGTCAGAATACAGCAGTGAGTTTGTATTACTGTGATGTGTAGTGTAACCTCACTGTCACAAAAGATGATGAGAAAGCAAGACAACAGATCGGGGCCTTTTCTGCAGTAAGAAGCAGATGCAGTTTGGAGCGGCCTTGCTGCTAAAATGGATAGTTGGATTGCTTTTTTTAACATGGCTTGACTGGTCGTTGGGCTCCTCAGACTGTTGACACTCATGTCCCATAACCTACTGGGTCGTGCTAAAAACATGCACTTTTAATTGTTGTTTTAGTATCTGATAAGTGGGATTTGTTATTGCTAGGACACCATCAGCTGAGATCTCACCTGTTAACTCACAGCCATTGCTGAATGCAGGGCAGTTCACAGTCAAGTCCACGTGCATCAATTCAACCGTAAGTCACTTCTAAAATCTACTTTTTTATCTTCTGCCCTGACAAAGAGTTCCAGTCTCACGCCCTTCTCTCATCTTTACTTCACCGGTGTCCTACAGTCAGATGGCAACTGGCAGTTCTCCTCTGGCAGGTTTGCCAGCCCACACAGTACCCCTGGGCTGTGCTCTTGCTCCCCTGCAGACCCAAAGGTAAACACAGTGTTGTTTCCCACCTTTTTAAAAAAGCTGATACCTGAATTTGTCAATTTCTAAATAGAGTAACTTTAATTATCAGGAAAGAGTTATTATTAGGAAGGAGGGCTCCTCTTTGTATGGAAAACAGAGCATTTACTCTAAAAAGTTGCAAATTGGTGATGGTAATAATTGGTCACCGGTACTCAGGGGAAAGCAGCATTTGCTACTATTTAAAAATATAATTAATTACAACTTTCTATCATTGCTCAGGTTTATTTATTCCATTGAGTTCTTGAAATACTGTTCGAGTATTTAAACCAATCACGATGCACTTTCCTGTTCGTTTTAACCCAAACCAAAGTGATGCAGTTCTCTCAAGTATGTGCAGAGGGCACCAATGTACAACCATCTCAAATACCACGCACAGAAAATGGCTATTTCCATTTCCACTTCTTTCCCCAGCACTGCTGAGTTTTCAGCGTAGGAAACAAACAGCTGAACCATTTTCTGTACTGTGAGGCAAGAGTGTGAAAACTTGGTTAAACTGAGGTGTATCCTACCATTCTTATGTTTAAACTGAAAACAGCTTGGGATCAAAACCTTGAGATGATCCACAAATATTAGAGACCAAAAAAGAGCGATGGAGGGGAGATTGGTTTGTTTTATTGTGTTTGTTAATGTGCTTAAATGATGTGTAATAGTAGTAATGGTTACCAGTAGTAAAATATGCTGTGCTTGAATTATCTTGCTGAAATTACCTGCTGTAAGAAGATTATTTGGTTTTAGAAATTTAAATTGCGTATTTTAGGAGCACATTATATTCCTGACTCTTGTGGCTATGAGGGATTAATTGCAGGAGTGTGGGATATCTCAGGCAATCGTGAGAATTAAGGCTGAATTGTAGGCCAGCAAGTGTTCTTCCAGACCAATTACAGATTACTTTAGAGTCTTATCTATTCTTGGAACATTTTTATTGACGAAGTTTAATCTACCAAAGCAGTTTTCTCACTCATCTCATCAAGAAGTTTCCTCTCACATATAATCCATTTTCTCTCTCCTTAAAGCTGGCAGTTCTTCTTACACACACTCAATTGACTTTGAATAACATTTCCTTGAGCTTATACAATGTTCTCTAATCATTTTATTAGCTCCTCTTAAGCTTTTCCTTACATACATTTGATTTTACTAATATGATTTTAAATGAGAAAGCAGATGCTGATTCAAAGCCACAGACACCCTAAACACAGAGCCAGAAATACAGCTAATATCTGAGCAGTGCTGAGAAAACCCTGTAACCAGAACTCAGCCAGAGATCTTCAAAAGCATCATCTCTTTTCCTACTGCACTGGCTAGACTGCACTTCATAATTTCCAGCATTCTTCCCAAGCAAGTATTTTTGTAGCATGCCTGAAGGGCCACTACATATAGGATATTTTGCAAGTTCCCCCCTATGAAAAGGAGATACATGTAAGTCTCTTCCAACAACTGGAAGCCTAAAGACAATGCTAAATAAGATCCAAGGTCACAGCTGTTGTTCTCTGTGATAATAGCTGCACCTAAGTGTGCAAACAGAATCAGGGCAAGGAGGAGTAGATTTGATAAAGAACTGATATATGTCTAAA